AACAAAGTTCCAGAGCTTAAAGAAAAGTATCTGGATTTGTTAACACCTTCAGATGTCTAAAAAAACAAACAACTCATGAACATTAGCAATAACTGTGAGTGGAGTTTAGATTGGGCTTTAAAAAAATCCCACTTGACCCGAGATCGTAGGCGTGTGTCCAAACCTGACCCAACCCGACAAATTAGCTCTAATTAGAGTCTTTATGCCATGCATTTTTGTTTAGGCTTCTCTGTGTGGTGTCTATTGTAGGCTTATTAAAAACGCACCACAGAAGGTCGACACTGCCCGACCGTCAAGCATATAATTTTGGCGCAGCCCAAATTTCCGGTGGGGTTCGGCTCGGGCTATAGATCTAAACTCTAAAGTTGAAGCAAAACTTCTGCAAAGTGACTGTAGATTTTGGGTCAACATTTTTTTTTTTTTTCTTAAATGTTGCCCAAGTCTTGATCTAAGCATCCAACATGTCATAAGTGATTTTTTTAAGAAGGGGAAATTCTCATGGATAAAATGCATGATTTTTTTTAAATAATTTGATTGAGACAAAAATCATATAGTTTCTTGGGTAACACTTTATTTGAAGGGGGTGAATAAGACTGACATGACACTGTCATAAACATGACAGCATCTGTCATGAACATCAATAAGGCTTCATGAATATTTATGACTGTTGTCATAAAGCGTCATTCGGTAAATTATGACACTTTTAATACAAAGTTGACATTATTCAAAATGTCTTTTTTATGACAACTTGACATTAACCAAGAAATCATTACTGATACAAATTTGTTATAAAAGTATTACTGATTGCACTTTAAAAATTAGGTAACTTTATGTTATTAAAGGTAAAGTTTAAACAGTAATGATAGCATAAAAAGAGCCTTTTCTGTCTGAACTCTGCAGTCTAAGAAGAAATGTTCTTTTCCCATTCAGCTTTTGGCAGATGAATTTGTCACATAAAAATGTGTAAATATATACATTCAGTTTTAAATGTAGTCTTGAAATATTCAGGTAATGTACGTAAGTAAATAAGGAGAAATGTCTCTGTAATTTCATAATATATATATGTTTTTGCATTGGTGCAATAAATATAGATGCTATTCCAGGAGTTTTCATTTGGAATGAACACGAGGGGCGTAGTGGCTGAATTAACTTTCCATGGATGCAGTTACACTGTAATTTACAGGGATTAGTGGCAAAGCAGAATTCAGACAGTAGTATCCTCCCAACAAATTTCCCTAAAGAGCTACTGAAGTCCTGTTAAAAGAAAAGAAAAAAGAAAAAAAGAGCTTCACTGAACTAAACTAAACTCATGTCCTCACAAAAACAGTAATTCACTTTGTCTTTTTCACAAGTCATTTGCCGTCATCACATCAGACGTACCTGCTTTAGTTTAATGTGCGAGAGATCGTGAAGATAAAGTCTGTAGATGTGCTAATGATAGATGTTGGTCACGTTGACGTCACATGGTTTTACGCTTGGGATTCTGTCTGGGTCAGCTTGTACCACGATTTCCTGGTGGTTTTTGGATGACTAGTCAACATGGTGAGGAGATCCAGGGGCCTGTGGAAATACTGACAGAAGCGCAGTCCATTTTCTGTCCTCAAACTCAAAGGACCTCAACTGTGCTTGCTTAGAGTGGTGCTGTCCTGCAGCCAAAATTCTGGAGTTCATTTCAGCAAATCTATTCGTTTTCGCAAAAAATAAGAAAAAAAAAAAAGAAGAAAAATTATCATTCTAAAAATGTTCAGCCTTCAAAACACTCTTCAGTGGTCGGATTCTCATACTGATTCCTAATTTCACATTGTTCTCTTGGATTGTGAAAGTCTCACAGCTTGCCAAGAGCGTTTGAGTCGTGCTATCTGCTGTAGAGACACAGCTTTAGGGAAGGATGTGTGGGAGGAAAAGTGATGGGCAAATAAGGATTTAAACAGAATAAAAACAGAAGTTTAAGAAATGCAATATTTATGTTTTTTTTCCATACCTCATGGCTCAACTTTGTGATTCTTAGACAGCTGGGCAGACTTGTCTGGACAAGTATACCATTATGCCTTACCATCTGCCCATTTAAAGACGAGTAGGTCATCTTGAATTTAAAGCAAGCTATTTTAATTGGTACTTGGATGATGCATCATGTGAGACCCAAATAGATTTTGCATAATGACTAGTGCTTTAATCCCAGGCACAGCTTGTTTTTTCACAAGCCAATTTTGACCTTCTTTGAGGCACAGATGATCCATAGAGATTAGCCCTTTAACTCTCCAGACCTCCGGGACCCTATCTGGACTTGCTCGACGATCAGAAAACACAGTATCCAGGAGGCTGCTTCATTAGAGTTCTACATGTACAGATGAAAATGATTGATTATTAGGTTTTTAATGAGCAGAAGAGGAGTTTCTAACATATTTTGGTGATGCTTTGTGCTTGTTTAATTGAAAACATATTGACAAACATCCGAACAGCTACTTTACGCCACGCAAAATCAAATAATGCCTGAACAAAAGTTCAAGAAAAATCCTATTGTTTCTGCTCTAACTCTAAATACCCTTGTTCCCCGTCTCCTCTAACTATCCATGCCCTCTCTGAATGCCCTCTCCTGGGACCTGAGGGAGCCCTTTAAAATGCCCCACTCTCTCTTGGCAAGGTTGTATTTCTTCATTAGTCCCTCTGGGGGCTGCCAAAGTCCCAGAGGATGTCAGAGTACATTAATTCTCATAAGGACATGGGTCCTCTCAGGTGTGAATGGCAGCCAGCAGCTGTCGACAAGGCTCCCGCAATCCTATCGCAACTCATATATCACCCACTGTACGCACACATAGATGCACACACATGCGTGTGCAAAGCGTACGCAGACATTTACACCTGCACAAAGACAGCAATGAGCGCAAAGGGGGTGGGGGGGGAAGAAAAAGCAGGACACACACGGAACTGGGCTGTTGAAAGAATCATCACACACAGGGAAAGATTTACACTGGAATCACTGGTATATGAGCACATCTCAATTTAGGAGGTGACCCATGATAATTACAAAAGCAGCCATATATCTTAAAGTCTTTAGGGGGGACAGAATGCCGTCTCTGCTTAATTTTCCGTGTGAGTAAATTTGCTTGGCGCATTTAAAGAGCCTACGTGTTTGCCTCATAGCTTCACCACAGAGCACCGACCACCACAGGGATATATCACATCATTTCTGTCTCCGTGTCTTTTTCCGTGTGTCTCTCTGTTCCTATTTTCCATAACATTGCAAGTGCTTCACCCAGATATTTTCTTGAGTAATTATTTGAAGTAATTCCTCCCGTTGAGGTTGTTATTGCTCCCAGCAGACGTGTAAACAAATTACTCATATTTGCACTGTTGTCAAAGCTGTGAGATGTCCCACAAGACAATGGTTCTACATTATGAAGGTTTGCCTATTAAAGCCATTCGTTAAGGTCTTCACTCCTGAGAATGGGCAGCTCTGGATAGAGGATAGAGGTTAGCCTCGGAAGTGAGCTGGTAATTACTTCAGTTTGTTGTAGAAGACTTCACACTGGATTCAGACCTGACAGATGAGCCCTAATCCTCATGCAAACCGAGACAGAGCTGCAGAGCAGTGGAAATTGCCCCTTCTGCTTAGAGCTCTGTGTAAACGTTAAAAGATATGATGGGGTAAATTTAGGGGGGTTTATGGTTTGTGCATGATGATTGCTCCTGCCTATTATTATTTTGTCATGCTGTGATTATTTTGTCATCATGGCGCCTTATTTTCCACAGTGAACGGTTGTTCCATGAATAAGTAACTTTTGCTCCTTACCAACAACTTAGTTTTACTGTGTGGCTGCTCTGTGCTGTTCCCAACCGTAGACAGATTCAGTTCAAAATAATAAAAGAACCTAATGCTGAATTGCAGTATTTGAATTCACATATTTGCATACGGGCTCCCTTCAACCGAACCGAGACCTGGGGTTTTAGGCCGACCAGTTTGCCTTTTTTGGTCAGCATCAGAGTTCGATTGCGCATTTACACATCCTCAAATGTACAAGACTTTTTTTTTTAGCAAATGAGCTAGAGTTTGATTAACGTGGACGAAGGAAGGATAGTGTGAATGCACCCTTTGATTTAGTGGTAGGATGTATCCAAGGTGTCTAAATGCATAAATGCTTTAGATCACATATTGAAATCCGCATTTGAAGTCTGCAGAGGCTCAATTCATTGAAAGTGTGCTGCAGTTGTGTTTTTTTTCACCAGGATATGAAAATGTCTGGGGATACTGCTGTACTGGTTTGATTTCAGTTTTTAGTTGCATTCTGGAGTCTACATTTGCAGTGGCCAGAAGTCGTTATCCCCAGTTTCCAACTAAACTTCCACAGAAGGAGGACCTGCTCTGCTTTAGCAGATGTAATCTAACACATCCAACATTACCATTAGTCAAAAGGTTTCCAGGTAATTATGTTCTGGAGGGAAATCCCCCGGCAAAAACTAAATGTTCTCATAACCACATTTGAAACTTGTTTTATGTGATTGTTTTTTTTTTTTTTTTTTTTTTTTTTTTGTAAAAAAATTTTTGGTGTGTTGGACATTGGGTCTGTTCATAAATTCCAGTAATTACCATGTTGCATCCTGCGTTGAATCACTGTATTTACTGATTTATATAGTTTTCGGGTTTTTACTGCACTTGGGGATCTATGTCTTGAAAGGCACAAAGTAAATAACATTTTACTTTATGTCGTTACTTAGATTTTAACTCTGCAGCTGTGGCAGCATGAAGTTGTTCATTTCAGTCTGACTTTCTCTTCCTTGAACTGTTATTCTTTAAAACATGCCATCTCTGTGGATGAGTCAGTTTATTAAACATTTCGCCGCTGATATAAGTAACTCATATTTTCCAGCGCTTGGACATAGTCACAACTTTGTCCACTGTGAATCCTTGGTTGATTGTAGTAATAGTTATTGAATGGATAAATTATTGCAAACCTCTTTTACTCTGGCATCCTGTTGAGGTTGCTAGGTTCCTGGGTTTTGTGTTCGTGTGAGTGCTCTTTCCTCTAACAGGATCTTTGTGAGAGAGCTGGGCAGCCCAGCACACCTGCAGCTGATGCTGTCAGTCAGCAGACAAATAGCTGTAGAGCAGTTACTTTTTGCTTGATGGCCCCACATTATGGGTTAGAGTCAAGCCTCAGGTTTATTTTATCACAATTATGTTCCAAGTTGAATCCTGTGGAAGGATTTTTCATGGTTGGATTTATCCGTCCTTATCTTTCTCTGCTAAGGTCAGACTCTCTCTTGCTTTGCAAACAGGCATTGGCCTCAACCTCACCATAGATTCAGCTACAAGGATCCCCACAATTGCTCCAAGTCAAGTTTGGAGCAATTGCCTTTCCTCTCTCCCCATCATTCCTCCACAGACACACCAGGATCCACGCTCCCCCCCTCCGGTTCTTCCCTCACCTCAAAACAAGTAAGATCAGCCACACCTTACCATTTCACGGTCTCACTATTCCATGTCCTGGATCGCATTGAACTGTGTTAATCTCCCTGCAGAACCTGTGTTCATACCTCCCCCTGAACTACTTCAACCTCATTTATTGCAAATAAATCACAATGAACTGTTTCCTCTGTCCTGTCTGCATGTGGGGCAGGGAGTTGTCTCAAAACATGGACAGCAGTAACAATGCAGCCATATTCAACAAACTAAATGCATTCATGATGAAACTCATTGTCAGATTATAAGTACATATTGAAAATAACCTTTACTTGGGTATTGGCCACTTTCCGTAGGCTCACATTTCTGTTTGAAACTGTTTTTCATTGGTCTGATGTAATATTTTAATCTTAAATGTCATGTTTTTACTAGCTGTCAGCTGAAAATCATTAAAAGGAGAGGCTTGAAAACCTCTGTCATTATAATGGTATAATGTATTGCAAGAAATGAACTTTTCATTAATATTCTAATTGCCTGTTTTGTGTTAGACTGTTTGTCATCCACTTATCTGTGTTTTTGTGGACCAAGTATATTAGATTTTCTTTTTTTTAGAATCTAGATCAATCCCTGGTTCACCATGCAATACCGAATCAAAGGTGATCCCACATAGCAAAGTGAAACAATGCTACCATTTTGGCTCAAAGTTTTACTTTTTCATCATCAAACTTTGTTCTTGTGTTCCAATGGTTAATGGACCGTATTTCCCAGCCACAACGATCTGCCACACCCTAGTCGTCATCATTCCTTGCTTTCAGTGAACCTGGACAGGCCACTATTTTTTCTGCATTTCATCTGTGCAGTGAAGCTGGTCGGTCTGCATTTAAACTCAGGAAAAGGAAAATCAGTGACCAAATTAACCATGTACGTGCCCCGACTTAAAATAGCTGAGTAATTGTTTGTGATAGTGTGACTTTAATTTGCTTGAGATTTAATTTGTCTTTGGACTCTTTGTTTGTATTTATCATTTACACAGTTTATTTTCCTATGACTAAGCTATTGTTTAAAAAGTGCAGCGATGGTATTTGAGCAAAATTCAGTCAGTGGAAAAGGCCTTAGAGGAAATTTGGCATAGTTGCTGGAGCAGAGGTGTTGTAGTTTATTTTACAGACTATTAGTTTTGGCCTCAGTGTTTCTCAGAGTGCAAGTAAAGAGCCAACTTCTGGGAAGGCTCTTTCATCCTCACCTTTACCTTGTTACTTTTGTGCAGTGTCGGTAATGCTTTGTACCATGATCCAGATACCACCATGATGTGACTTGGCACTCCTATTTAGGTGTCCTAATCAAGTCTTTCTACCTCCGTCTTCCCTTTTCTACCTCCATAGAGAACTGTTTGTACACAGAAGCCTGTGTTAAGGATGCATAAAGTAAGGTCCAGTTGTGTCTTATTTCTGCTGCTCTTTATTGCATGTGATCATGGTTAGAATACTAATTGCTTATTGCCAATGGCTACTTTGGAAGTAGGTTTCTGTTAGTATACACATCCATCATCCATCCATTTTCTATACCTAAAATTGTGTTCCTCTGCAGCCTGTGTATGGGCCATGCCCATTAAAACGATAGAGCAACTTCTCCCCCATATTTAAAAGCAAGGTAACACATTTTTGCTGTCTCGTTTTTTTGACCCAAACATACAGATCACTTAGCGAAATTTCTGCTAACAAAACATTTAGAGTACCAATTTCTAACTGAAGTCGTCCAATCTCATGGACAAGTCCAATCCTACGGACAAGGTCATTTGTGACTCTTGTGCAAAAGGTAAGAAAGATTGAATTTTCACCAAAGAATCAAGCCATACGCTCACTGCATAACTCAACCAGATTTGTCAGTATAGTCAATACTGTCTCATGCTTTTGGAAGACATTTAATCATAGTCTTTACCCTGATTCATGTGGAAATGTTTCATAATAAAAGCATATTTACATTAAATGCATGAAAGTTTTTAATGTTTCCAGTTTTTTTTTTCTTTGAAAAGGCTTAAGTATAGCTGAAATAAAGCTGAAAAGCTGATGTTTTGCTTTATTTCCTCATGTTTTAAATTCTGGTTATACAATAGAATTTATCATGACGCAGAATTATGTGAAACCTCATAGTTGTTGACCACATATTTCACCTTGACCCAGCTATGGCAACCAAAAATACAGTTTGCTATGATAAAAAAAAAATATATATATATGTACTCTTGCAATTGTTTGACAAAAGACATGCAACTCGTCTAACACATGATGATGTACTCTGCGTGAGGGAACACTTTCAAAGACTGTAGTTTCACAGCCTTATCATGGAGTACCTTGGCTGACTCTTAGCCTCCCCACATTTCAACCACACATCCCAGGCAGAAAGCAATTGATTTTGGCAATAGTTTGAATAAAGATTGATTGAATGAGAATGGAAAGGACCTTGCTGGAGGATCAACCATGCAGTAACCCCTGAGCTTTAGATGCCTTTGCCAAGAAAGTACTCACAGTTATTCTAGCGTAAGGGGCAACAAGATTAAACCCGATAGCGTCCACACGCAGAGTACTGGGGGAGGAGAATCCATTTTATAGAGAAATTACACATGACCACTAGACTGTGGTCCTACTGTTAATTAGAATATTGTCTAAGATTTAGTTGACTGTGGTCTGGAATGATGAAGGAAGAAAAGAGGCTCTAAGAGAAGAGAAGTATTTAAATTGTAAAAACACGCTTTGCTAAAGTACCAACTATGTGTGATCTAGTGGGGATTTTTTTTCTTTACATCATCACAGCTTACTTCCATTAAATTAATATGAAACTGTTTTGCAATAATTGTTACTTGTGCAATAAGATTGTATGCAGCAAATATGCATGACTTTGACTCAAACATTATTCAACATGTCCCTAAAGGGGGGGTGCTAGTGAGCGATGGAGAAGTAGGCAGCGTTTCCCTAGAGCTCCTGCAAATTTCTAAATATATTTATCACTAGCTTGGCATTTAGGCAGACTTACAACAGGTTGTGAGTGAGAACAGTCTGGACTTTAACTAACTCCATCAGGACAGGATGAAAGCAAAATTAAGGATGCATAACGCCAACAAGGACAAGAAATCGAGAGAGCCAGGCCCAGCCTGAAGGTAGCTATCCGATGGCTAATGCTACCATCCTAGAGGCTATAAACTCTCTTTGCACAGAACTACAAGTCACCAAGTTCGAAATTTGCCAGACAATAGATACTCGCATCGAAGGAGTGTCCACCACCATCAGAGGAGAACTCATCAACCTTAAGATCGAGACTCAAAATGCCATTCACCTTCTGAAAACGTCAAGCGATCAACATGGGGCATCCATTGTTGAGCTCGAGCGAGCGGCCTCACAGTCAGCAGACGAAGTAACTGCGCTACAGTCGGAGATAAAACGTCTACGCACAGAAATTAATCAGATAACAGAAAAACACATAGATCTTGAAGGAAGGACCAGACGTCAAAATATACGGATTGCGATGTTAAAAGAAGGGGCAGAGAACGGCGCGGAATTGAACGGATTCGTCTCGTAGCTCCTGAAAGAAGTGCTGACTCTGGATGACTTGCCGCTGGTGGATCACGCTCATAGAGCGCTACGAAGGCGCCCAGACGATACAGACCTTGGGCGTTGGTGGTGAGACTCCATTATCACCGCGACGTTACATCAATCCTCCGGAAGTCCATGACTCAGAGAGACCTCGCCTACCAGGGACAGAAGATCCGTATCCGTATCAGACCCACAATTGTTGAAAGAACCAGAATTCTGCAAGTTTATCAGAAAGTAGATTACATTTTACTTTGAAATGAATGACCTTCCGGGAACGTCTCCTTCAATATTGTGGGAAACTATGAAGGCCTATTTAAAGGGAGGTATTATGTCTTTTCAAGCAGCAAGGATAAGGATAACGCTATACACCCCTCTACAGAAACTCATAAAAAATATATTTCTCTAAGATATAAACACAATCAATTATTGTCAGATAATATTACTAGAGCTTTTATTTTTACATGACAGAAATATTTTGAATTTGGGGAAAACCCTAATAAATTACTGGCAAGACAAGTAAGGAAAATGGAACGTGACCGTACAATTAACAAAATTAAATCAGAAAATGGGGAAATTTTAACCTCTCACAAAGACATTAATCATAGATTTAAACAGTTTTATGAATCATTGTACTCCTCCAATGCTGTAAAAGATGACTTACTTATACAGACGTTTTTAGATAGCTGTAATCTCCCAACCTTAACTCAAGAAGACAAGAGCCCTCTTAATGCAAATCTCTCTTGCATAGATATTCAGGTTTCTATTAAAGCATTAAAAATGGGAAATCGGCTGGTCCCGATGGATACCCCGGGGAATTCTATAAAGAATTTAGTCACCTTTTATCACCATATTTGTTAAAAATGTATACCCAAGCAAACTTAGATAATATACTACCGCCTACTATGAGAGTAGCCACTATAATACTAATACCAAAAAAAGATAAGGACCCTGAGGAAGTGGGTAGTTTCAGACCAATATCACTGCTGACCTATGATCAAAAGATACTAGCCAAAATTCTAGCTGATAGGTTGAGTTTATTAATTGACAAATTAAATCATCCCGATCAGACGGGTTTTATACAAAACAGACATTCTTTCTTTAATTTGAGACGTCTTTATAATGTGATCTACTCTCAGAGGGAGGACACTTCTGATTTAGCTGTCCTTTCCCTCGATGCGGAAAAGGCCTTTAACCAAATAGAATGGCCCTACCTTTTCGCGACCCTGAGAAGATATGACCTTGGTGGTGATTTCGAAAAATGGTTAAAAATCCTTCATCACAATCCTTGTGCTAGAATTGTCACCAATAAGACACTATGTAGTGCATTCCGATTACATAGGGACACCAGACGGGGCTGCTCGCTGTCACCCTTACTTTTCACCTTAGCCCTAGAACCACGTGCACAATCAATTCGCGCCAACCCCCTTGTACAGGGATGCACTACTAAAGGGACTATAAACAAAATTTCCTTATATGCGGATGATATCCTTTTGTTCATAACCAACCTTCAGTGTACTGTACCAACTGTCCTAGATACAATCTCTCAGTTTGGCAGGTTTTTCCGGTGATAGGATCAACTGGTCTAAAAGTGATCTGATGACAATTAAGCTCAAAGACTCTTCGATCTTGGAAAGTATGCCCTTTAAAATTGCTATTAATAAGTTCACCTACCTTGGCCTAGAGATTACTAGGGATTTAAATTTATTGTATGTAGCTAATTTCTCCCCCCTTATGGTAAAGCTACAAAATAACATTCTGTTTTGGAGATCTCTTCCCATTTCCCTAGTAGGAAGAATTAATGCAATTAAAATGTTTTTTCTCCCTCAGATCCTTTACCTGTTTCAAAATATTCCTATCATTTTACCTAAGAAATGTTTTAAGAAACTTGACTCTATAATCATTCCATTTCTATGGGACTATAAAATGCACTGAATTAGTAAAACTCACCTTTGCAAGGCAAAATCGAAGGGTGGACTGGCCCTCCCAAACTTTTTATTTTACTATTACTCTTGTGCGCTTCGCACTATTACAATTTGGCTAGATCGCAATTTTACACAATCCAAGGGGATCATAATGGAAAAGGAAGACTGCAGCCCTCATGAAATTGGTGCTCTTATTTTGGCACCAACAACTACAGACGCCTCGGCATACAACAAGAACGGCATCATCCACAGTACTATACGTACTTGGAAACAGATAAAATCCCAATTTGGCAATGAGTCTATATCCATCTTATTACCAATAGCAAAGAATCCCTCATTTGTCCCTTCCACTTTAGATTCAGGTTACATACAATGGAAAGAGTTGGGCATCAGAACTATTGGTGACCGGTTGGTGGGCGGTAATTTTACCTCTTTCTCTCAACTTCAGGCCAAATTTGGTCTCCATAAGCACAATCATTTCAGA